GAGCGAGCAGCTGCGTGGTTCCAAGTTGCCAGCTGGGCTTGAACCACAACAATGCTGATACCTGGAAGTATTTCTTTCTTTTCCTTTCTTCTCTTTCTTTTCCTTTCTTCTCTTTCTTTTCTATTCAGATAAAACAGCACCAATACTTTTGTTTTCTACTTTTATCATCTTTCCTGTTTTAAATTGTGCTGTGCTAAAAACCCCCAGTATTCCTAGTGAGAATTTAGTGCTAGATCTGTGCTATATACATTTATTTCATATTGTAAATAAACTTCAGTATGACAAGTATACCTATGTATACCTCCTCTGTATTCGCTAACTATATACTTAATGGATCAAGTGAAATTTACTTTTGATGAATATTTAACTAGCACAGATACCACATTTTGAACTGAAACCTGTATTTTTTCCACTGTCTCCCAACACATCTACATACATACCCTACACTGTAGCTTTCCTTTGCGGCATGGAGCACAGACAACCAAAAAGGTTTATTTCTTCCTCACAGTTTAAGCAGAGGCCTCCTACGCATGACCATGTATGTTAATTTTAGGTGTAAACATCAGGCACATGTTCCTCCAACAGAACTGGATGTTCTCCTACAGGCCATTTATGCAATTAATATAATCTGAGAAAGAATGGTATTGGGTTTGTAAAACCTTGAATTGTGTCTAAAAATAAGGGAGCTTTACTCTCCATCTGGATTAATTCTGTCTCAATGTTACAAAAGTAGAATGAAAAGACATGCACTGAGGTTCTGTAATACAAAACATGGATGTAAAATGTTAGTTTGATGGATTTAGTTTAAGCTTGGTGTTTCAAGAAGTCATTAAAATATTGCATTCTGGTGAGGCTGGAGCAACTTGGCTTTGAGATGGAAAAGAATCACTAAGTCATGGTGATGGGAAAGAGAGACGAGAAGCACAAGAGTAGGGTCAGGCAGTGCTGGGTGGGAGGAGGAACAGGGGTATCTACAAGCAAGTTTAGGGGGTTAAATAGACTGGGATCCAAAGCTCCACAGTATTACACCTCAACAGAAATCACCATAGTCAAGAAGGTAAAGAGGCAGACCTCTGTAAGTGACCTCAAAGCTTCTGCTGGTAAGTCTCAGGGCAAGCCAGTGCCAACAACATGAACTTATTTTTATTTCAAACTTTCCACCTTTTTACTCAATCACAAAACTGCATCCCTCCCCAGAAACTGAAGGTCTAGTGTCTTAGATACTACCGCATTAGTACTTTTGGCCAAGCCTATGACACAACATACCTGGGCCTGAAGCTTTCAGCCTGTAAGAAGTTAATACTGGGAACTATGCTTAGGTAAGTGGCACTCCTTTATTATTTCTTGGTTCATGCCTTGGCTTAAATGAGTATTTTTAAGAGCTAGCTCACTTTTAATGCACTTTGTTATATCACAGCAGCTGTTTTTGTTAATATAACTGGGTGAATGCTTAAGTTTCTGCTAATTAGCTTGTTAATAAAACATACTATATTAGAAAAGATAAAAGAGCTCAATTTGAGCATTTATATTAACGTTTTACCAGACCTTCTGGCAGAAACTTCAGGATTACGTATTAATAAATGCTATAAACTTCCAAACATTTTACTTACCACTTCATTTACATAAATGCCAAACCAGAGTTTACCGTATGTGCTGTTCTAGAAGAGAGAGAGGCACTGGCATCACCTTTTTTTGGGTCATAAATGCAACCAAAAACACAAAGCCCAATTAAAATTTAACAGCTATTTTAATCTTAAATGTTTTCCATTAAAGAGCTGTTAGAAAGTTTCTGTTCAGCTGTTACAGACAGCAACCAGATCGAAGTTATCTTGCTGTGAAATTCTTGCTAAGGGGCTAAGCTCTGCTGTGTGCAATAGCAAGAAGACAAGAGGGAAATGAAAGCAGTGTTTTTAGAAGGTAGAAACTTCACTGCTTTATTACGAACAGAACATCACTTCTGCCTAAAACCTCAAGTTTCATGGCCACTACAGCCTGAAAATGACTTTGCTCTTTTTAATTACTGCCTTACAACATTTAGGTAGCCCATACTGTGTTGCTTATCCCTGGCTATCAATAACAACTCCAGAGTAGACTGCCTTCCTCTCCTGCAAGGCATCTCTTTCTCTTAAAGATGTTCAAATTCTTATTGTAACAAACCATTACATAGCTTCAATTCAGAAACACATATTCTAAAACCAAAGAAAAATGAAACAGTAACACTCATACAATAAAAGATTACAAGAACTAAAAAAAAAAAAAAGATGAAAGAGTTCCAATAGCGTTGATTATCAAGAAATGCAAAGATGCACAAGCATCTGCTTATCACAGAAGCAGGGTGTTAAATTCTGATTCACCAGAAAAAAAAGGCTCAAACCAGGTGAAACGCATGAAACACGTTACCAGAACCGTGGTGATTTAAAATACTGGGGCAGGCTTGGTAAGGGGAAAAATACATTAAAAACCAAAACAGCCCACCCTGCAGTCTTTCTAAAAGAGACTGATTTCTCTGAGAAAATCTGATTCAGGTCAGACCATTCTACCTCGAGGTAAGTGCAGCCTAAGTCATGTATTCACACATACTTAAGGAACCTGCTCCAGTGGAAGGTGTCCCTGTCCGTGGCAGGGGGTTGGAACAGGATGAGCTGTGAGGTCCCTTTCAACCCACTCTGTAATTCTGTGATACGCATGGCCTTTTCCCAGCCCTCCTACCGTTGTAAACGTTATAAAGCTGTACCTTCTAACAAAAGAACAGGAGTGGGCTAAGAACAAATAAATAATGTCAGCGGTCCCACAGCACGGTCAGGGCCACCTCAGCGCTACCGCCCGC